ATGTGGTGCTGAGGATCGAACCCGGGCCGCACGCATGCCAGGCCAGCGCGCTACCGCTTGAGCCACATCCCCAGCCCAAGTACCATGCTTTTTAATCTACCTTTTTTTTTAATATTTATTTTTTAGTTTTAGGTGGACATAGTATCTTTATTTTACTTTTATATGGTGCTGAGGATTGAACCCAGTGCTTCATGCATGCCAGGCGAGCATGCTACCACTTGAGCCACATCCCCAGCCCATTAATCTAATTTTTTAAATTTTTACTTCATCATTACATTGCAAATGGCATGTTATTCTATTTTGTAGATTTCAGTAGTACCTAGTTATTTCAGTTTTTCCAGTGTTGTACACATAGCTACAGTGAACATTCTGACTGCTAACTTCTTGCCCATTGCCATATTTTCTTTTTTTTTTTTAATTTTTTAAAAAAGTTTTTGTTAGATGTTGATTCTTTTATTTTTATTTATTTATTTATTTATGGTGCTGAGGCACAAACCCAGTGCCTTGCACATGCTAGGAAAGCACTCTACCACTGAGCCACAACCCCATCCCTTTTTAATATTTTTTAAGTTGTAGATGGACGCAACACCTTTACTTATTTTTACGTGGTGCTGAGGATCAAACCCCGTGCCTCACACATGGTAGACAGGCACTCTACCACTGAACTACACCTGCCATATTTTCTTTTTTTTCTTCTTTTTTTCATATTTTCTTATTAATCAAATAAAATATTGGAAAGAACCAGAGGGTGAGTATGGTTTTTAATATATATTGCAAGACTGCCCACAAGAAAATATTTTTACATATTTTGGGCCAACAAATATTCTCACTGGACCTATTTTTATTAATCAGAGATGTACCATGGAATCCTTTTGTGAGATAGGAGTTAAGATTCTGCTTTTTCTTTGTTCGTATCTTTTGTTTTCATAGTACTGGGGATTGAACCCAGGGTTGCTCTACCACTGAGCTACATCCCTACCCCTTTTCACTTTATTTAGAGACAGGATCTTGCTAAATTTGTGAGATTGACCTTGAACTTGAGATCTTCCTGCCTCAGCCTCCTGAGTAGCTGGGATTATAGTCATGCTCTGCTGTATCCAGCTAAGAGTTATAGTCTTTAAAAAAAAAAAAAAGAAAGAAATATTTTGTTTATTCATATGCAGCGCTAGGAATCAAACCCAGTACCTCCTCACATATGCTAAGCAAATGCTCTACTACTGAGCCACCACCCAAGCCCTAGGAGTTACATACTAAAGTCAGTGTGAAAGGCAAAAATTGTGTATGTCTCTTAAATTTTTTTCTTTTTCTTTTTTTTTTCTTTTGTGCTGGGGTTTAAACCCAGGGCTTGGGCATGCAAGGTAAGCACTCTACCAACTGAGCTATATCCCCAGCCCTTAAATTTCTAGTGAAGTACAATATACTGTTTTTTAAAAATATTTTTATTAGTTGTTGATGAATTTTTAAATTTTACTTATTTATTAGTATGTGGTGCTGAGAATCAAACACAGTGCCTCACACATGCTAGGCAAGCACTCTACCACAGAGCCACAATTCTAGTCCAAAATACTGGTTTTTAAATTCCAATTTTTCCTTTAGCATTGGAACACGTTGCAATTTCTTCATTTGATCACCAGCTTAGTCAGTCACCTTAAGACTAGAGGTTATGTTCTGAAAATCAAGTTTGAAATTGGGTATGGCGGCATGTGTCTATAGTCCCAACTACTCACTGAAGCAGATCTCTTGAGACTAGCCTGGGCAACATAAGCAAGGTCCCATTTTAAAAAAAGAAAGAAAAACAAGTTGGGGAGTTTTCTTAGCCAACCTTATTTTATTGAATCCTCTGATAAAATACTGTCTGCTTGCTAAACATAGCTACTGATGAGCATGATTGGCAGATGGTAACCTTCCTGAATGGCTCTAGGTCTAGCGATTAGCACAGGCACCACTTATTTATTTCATTCATTTATTCCTTTCTTTCATTTAACAGATATAATTGTATGCCTGTGCCCAGGCTCTATGATAGATTCTAGATTTAAAATGCTTGAACACCTTAATCTAGAGGAAGGGGGTGAAGAGTTGTGAGCACTTCCCTGATGCCTACACATAGTATACCTTTGCCCCTGATGCTTCACCCCTTACTCCAGATTTCAGCCTGTTCCTGGGGCACTTGCTTCCTCTATCGGTTCTCTCTGCAGACTGAAGGCTCTTCAGGGGCGACAGAAAAAATGAAGAAGGGATTGTCTGACTTCCTAGGGGTGATCTCAGACACCTTTGCACCCTCACCGGACAAAACCATTGACTGCGATGTCATCACCCTGATGGGTACACCCTCTGGCACAGCCGAGCCCTATGATGGCACCAAGGTATTCCCTGAGCTTCCCATACAGGTGCTGGGCTTTAGCCTCCAACCTCTACCTGCAAAAGCAAAACATACTCAGGCCAAAAAACAAATGAGTGTATATAGCTAAATTGAAGAGCACCAATAAGGAAAAGATAATTATTGTTTTTCTAAACCCATAATTCCATCACCCAAAGAGAACTCTGATTTCTTGCTGGTATATAACCTTCCTTTTTTTCTTATTTGTAGGTAAAGATAGTTTGGTCTTTTTCTTTTTAACAAAATACACACTTTATACAAGCAGTTTTGTTACCTGCTTTTAAAAAAATATACAACACACTGTTAGCATTTTTCCTAATCACTATTGCTTTTTTTTTTAGTTGTAGATGAACACAATATCTGTATTTTATTAATTTATGTGATTCTAAGTATCGAACCCAGTGCCCCACACATGCAAGGAAGCACTCTACCACTAAGCCACATCCCCAGCCCCATCTCCATTGCTTTTAATGTCTTTAAATTCTTACAAATGAATATCGCATTGCTTATTCTGTCATCTCCCAAGTATGTACTTGTGAATTCCTTTCAGCTTGCACACTTAATAAAGACACTTTGAAGAACATCTTTGGGGGCCATGATTTTCTCCACATTTATGTTATTTAAGACTAATTTCCATTAGGAATAAATTTCCTGTTTTCAGAACACTTAAATAAACAACCATGGTAGTGTATTTGTGCTGTATTTTATTTTCTCATTATGGCTTTTCCTGTTTCATGGATTGCTTTCTGCTAAACTCACAGTGTGTCATCATAGCTGTTGGGCCTTCTTTCTAGTTTTTTTATATTGAATTTCCATTTTAAAGATACTAATTTTTCATGAATGTTTTTCAGCACTGACATTAGTGCCACCACTTAGTGAATGTGTGAGCAGAATTGTGAAAATCATTCAATAGTGAGATTTTAAGTTATAGTAACAGTGACTCACTACCAAAACCATGTGTTGAAGTTCTGGTACAGACTGACTCTTCCCTAAGGAGAACACAGCTTATAGTTCATTTGGCAGATGGCTATAAAATTAAGAGATTCTTTTTTTCCCCCAATGCTGGGGATTGAATCCAAGACCTTATACAACCTAGGCAAGACCTTATCACAGAACTACATCCCCAGCTCAAGAAACTTTTTTTTTAGAATTTTTTTAATATTTATTTTTAAGTTCTCGGCGGACATAACATCTTTGTTGGTATGTGGTGCTGAGGATCGAACCTGGGCCGCGCGCATGCCAGGCGAGCACACTACCGCTTAAGCCACATCCCCAGCCCTCAAGAAACTTTTTTATTTTATTTTATTTTATTTTTTTGAGAGAGAATTTTTTTAATATTTATTTTTTTAGTTTTCGGCGGACACAACAGCTTTGTTTGTATGTGGTGCTGAGGATCGAACCCGGGCCGCACTCATGCCAGGCGAGCACGCTACCACTTGAGCCACATCCCCAGCCCAACTTTTTTATTTTTTATACAGTGCTAGGGATCAAATCCCTGGCCTCATACATGCTAAACAAGTGCTCACTAAGCTATACTCTCAGCCCATGAAATTCTTGATGAATGATTATAATTTTGGAATAGTTGTATTATTTTGCAATTTTCCCTCAAAGTTGGACTTTATTAATACATTTACATTTCACATTTTCCACATTTCACATATTTCAGAAGCATTGTATACATATAATTTTGCAGACTGATTACACTATATTTTCAGTTCCCAAGAGTAGAAAGAATACTGGGAGACAGACCATTTTTCTGGAAGCCCCAGTTTGGGATTTTAGCCTAGTGATAACAGTTTTTATGGATAGTGCTCTATGGATTTGGTAATCAAATCAACAGGAAAAGAAGCTGAGTTGTAGTTGTTTGGGTACGTTGCAAAGGGGGTGCTTTCTCTGCCCAGTATCCACCCCAGAATTTCTGTTGTCTGTTCTCTTTTGCTTACAGGCTCGCCTCTATAGCCTGCAGTCAGACCCAGCAACCTACTGCAATGAACCTGATGGTGAGGGGGTAGCAGTGAGGGAGGGCTTATTGGGCAGGTAGACTAAGATAGAGGGTGTGGTCTTTGAACCCTTTTTATCTCCGATAACAGAGGCCAAGTACCTGTTATATAGAGGGACCAGAGTAGTGCCTTGTGAGATGGGTTGATGGTCCCTTTTCTTCCCTGAACCCCAGCTCTCTTCACTGCACCTTTGTCCTATACAGAGACTTCACTCCTCAGGTCCCTCATTCTCTCTGTTTGGCCTCCCTTCTAGCCCTTATTCCCTGCCTGCCTGCCTTCAGCTCCTGTTCTCCTATTTGCTAAGCCCCTGTGTCTGTGCTGGGAACTGGAGACTAGAAATAAGTCAAACCTTCAACCCAGCCCAGCAGGCCCAGGACCACACTGTTGGAGGGAGAAATAGGAAAAATGAAAGAAAGCAGAGATAGTAGAAGTAGAGTGACAGTTTCCTCAGAAAGACAGGGACAGTGAGAGCTCAAGGAATGGCACCTGAGGTACTTCGAGAACATAGGAAGTGACACTTGAATTGAGGTTTTAAGTATGGGTTAGAAGTAAACTGATTTTACTCTTAGAAGTGGAAAAGGATATTCAAGTAAAAGCAACAGTATATTTGATGATCCAGAAAGAACAGGGAGCCCTTAACTTTTGGTCACACTGAGCCCTTGTGAGGGAATAAAGGCAACCATTCTGCTGGTGGCGCTGGATTACCCAGTTTGAATTTTGTCCTTCAAGGTTCGAAGTAGTGTTCTTTTTAGTCACAAAGGCCTTAAAACTATTGAAAATAACAAGCCTTCTCTCTGTAATATTTTGTGTACAGTATGGGAATTCTTCAACCCTTTGAAGACCCTAGCTTTAAAAAGCCCTTCCATAGAAAACTACTAAAGAGTTTTGAGCCCTGGGATTATCAGATTTGTCATTTTATAAAGCAACACTTGAGGCAGTGTTATGAGGGACAAAATAGAGACAAAGACTGGAAATCCAGCTAGGATGCTTCATGGGAATTCTCATCTCAGAGATAAGGCCAGGTCTTAGAAAGAGGCAAGTGGAACGAAGAGGAAGGTGTGCATGTAGGAGATGGGGGAGGAAGTGGAGTCGACCAGAGGATAAGAGAGGTGTCTGGGGAGATCTAGAATGGCTCCTGGATTTCCAGTGGATACCTGGAAGGGAAGAAAATAAACATGTTATGTTTGCAATTGAATCTGGAGGCCAGGAGGGTAGTCCAGGTTGCAAAGAGAGAAATTTTCAGTGGGAGAAGAAGGTTGGAATTCATGGTTTAGTGGAGATAGACTATTTTGGTAGAAAATAGAAAGTGAAGACGGGTAAGGAGAGGAAAGGAAAACTAGAAGCCCATAAAGATTCAGATGGAATAACCAGAGAGCGGGAGGGAAAGAACAAGAGTGAGAAGCCAGAGGGACCAGGGCTTTCCGGGAAGGCAGTGGCCCTCAGGGCATAAACAGTGGTATAGCCACCTGAGAGAAAAAGAGAAGCAGCCAATGGCTCTGGCAATATGATTCCACTAGTGAAGTGACCTCAGACAGCTATTTCAGAGGGAGATTCAGTAGCCAGCAGAAATAGGAGAAAATAGAGAATACAGCCTTTTCTGAAGTTCACGTAGCTGCCGCATTCTGATCCCAGTAGGGCCTGTATACCTTTTCACCCTGCCTCATCTCCCACTTTGGGCCAAATGGTTTTGAAAAAGCCCATAAACTTTTCTCATTGTCCAAATCCAAGCTTAAGTATGTTCTATAGGCCCAGGGTTCTTTCCCCAGACCCAGGAAACTGACCATCAGTGTCTGTCCCTCTGCAGGGCCCCCGGAAATGTTTGACGCCTGGCTTTCCCAGTTCTGCTTGGAAGAGAAGAAGGGGGAGATCTCAGAGCTCCTTGTAGGCAGCCCCTCCATCCGGGCCCTCTACACCAAGATGGTGAGGTCCCAGCCAGCAGGACCTCACCTGGCTCCAGGCTTGAGGTTTCGGCAGGTGGGAGGGACCTGTGCAGTGGGAGGCAGTGGAAGACCTTGTAGAGCCAAACTAGCCTTGTCCTGAGCCAACAATCTGCATGGAAGAGACTGATTGGCTAGGCTTCTTGCAGTCAGAGCATGGTGAGAAATGAAAGGGCCAGCACAGCCTGATGGGAGTTCTTTTCTCCTTCCTTGACCAAGCTGGGTCAGGAGGTTAGGTCTGGCTGAAAATGAGGGTGGGCTTTGATAATCAATGCAAAGCCAATTCCTGTGTCTGAAATCCAGAGCAATTGGGAACAGACTGATGAGACTGGGGACAGAGACTCTGTATACCATTTCAAAATCCTCACCTCCACCTTCCTCTCCCTCCAGGTTCCAGCAGCTGTTTCCCATTCAGAATTCTGGCACCGATATTTCTATAAAGTCTATCAACTAGAGCAGGTATGCTGGTCTTGCCTGGGGAGGTCCCTGCTCAACCCTGGGGAGCATAGGCTGGATTTTGTTGAGACAAGAAAGGGAGACAGGGTGCCAAGAGTTCTGGGGTCAGGACCAGGAGCTGGAAATAGAGTCCCCTGACCATTTCTGGCCATTGCTTCCCCACCCTCAGGAGCAGGCCCGGAGGGATGCCCTGAAGCAGCGGGCAGAACAGAGCATCTCTGAAGAGCCTGGCTGGGAGGAAGAAGAAGGTAAGAGGTGTTTAGATATAATAGGCAAGTGACAGGCTTGTCTCTGGGACTCTGAGGCCTGGAGAGTTGTGGTGCCCCAGAGGAGAGTTAAAGAATAAACAGTGTATGTGCTGAGCATAGATGGAGTTAACAAGAGAATATCGAACAAGGTTGGTGAAACCCCAAGTTTATATTCAGAAATCACAGGTATCAGGTGAAACAGACTGCCTTGCCAGCCGTGGACCAGCTGCTTGCTTCATAGACACTAGGGAACACATTGAAAATCCAGATTCCTTCCTAACCTTCTAAATAAGACTGTAGGAATGTGGCCAAAGATATATTTTTAGCAGCCTCCTGTGGTGATACTAATGCCTAGACAGATTAGAAAGGGAGCTGAGCATCCTCTACCTGGTAGTTCAGCTTAGAATGGCATGTTGGAGCCACCCTGATGACGTGATTATTACACTTTTAGTTAGTGCTTATACTACATGCCTACTCTACACTAGAGGCTTTACATGTGTAGTTCTTACCACAGTACCATTATTCCTCTTTCCCAAATGAGGCAGGTAAGTTAAAAGTGAAGTGGCTTGGGGCTGGGGTTGTGGCTCAGTGGTAGAACACTCGCCTAGCATGTGCGAGGCCCTGGGTTCGATCCTCAGCACCACATAAAAATAAATAAAATAAAGGTATTGTGTCCAACTACAACTAAAAAATAAATATTAAAAAAAAAATGGGGCCAACCATGTGGGGTGGGCTTCTGTGGGGCGCTGCCCATGGTCTGTGGGCTGGCCAGGCTGTTGGCGCAGCCCGTGGGTCCCTAAGCTACAGTAGCCCGCCACTGGAGGAGCTGGTCGCCCGTGGCAGGCCTTTATGGACCTTCCTCCAGCGCCAGGCAGTGTCAGAAAGCCAGTTACGATTCAGGAGGCCAGATTTGGTAGTGGTCACCAAATTCCTGAGCGAGAAGGAGCAGGAGCTGTGGGAGACCAAGCACTTGCTGCATGATGAAAATGAAGATTTAAGGAAACTTGCAGAGAATGAAATAACTTTGTGTCAAAAAGAAATAACTCAGTTGAAGCATCAGAAGAAACTGATGAAAGTGATTTGATCCTGGAGGTAACTGCAGGAGTTGGGGGTCAGGAGGCCATGTTGTTTACTTCTCAGATGTTTGATATGTATCAGCAATATGCTGCATTTAAAAGATGGCATTTTGAGGGCTGGGAATGTAGCTCAAGTGGTAGCGCGCTCGCCTGGCATGCGTGCAGCCCGGGTTTGATCCTCAGCACCACATACAAAGATGTTGTGTCTACCAAAAACTAAAAAATAAATATTAAAAAATTCTCTCTCTCTCTTAAAAAAAAATAAAAATAAAAGATGGCATTTTGAAACCTTAGAATACTTTCCAAGTGAAATAGGTGGCCTTAGATATGCATCTACCAGCATTGGCGGTTCAGAAGCCTATAAACACATAAAATTTGAAGGGGGAGTGCATAGAGTACAGAGAGTGCCAAGGACAGAAAAGCAAGGCCGCATCCATACTAGCACAATGGCAGTGGCAATATTATCCCAGCCCACTGAGATTAATATGGTGATTAATCCAAAAGATTTGAGAATTGATACTAAGCGAGCTAGTGGAGTTGGGGGTCAGCATGTAAATACCACGGACAGTGCTGTCTGGATTGTTCATCTTCCAACAGGTGTTGTTTCTGAATGCCAACAAGAGAGGTCTCAACTGAAAAATAGAGATGGCTATGAAAAAATTTGCGTGCAAAGCTGTACAATATGCGTCTAGAGGAAGAAACAAGTAAAAGATTACAGTGCTAGGAAGATTCAGGTTAGAACTAAAGGAAGATTAGAGAAAATAAGAACATATTATTTTCCACAGAACCGGGTCACAGATCACAGAATAACAAGTCACTGCATGGTCTTCAGACTTTTATGCGAGGAGATTATCTACTGGATGAACTTATACAGTCACTGAAGAACTATGCTGATTATGAATCTTTATTAGAAAATGTTTCCAAAAAAGCTTAGGTTGATTTGTTATTAAAGTATTTCATGCACTTAGGAAAATACTATAGCACATCAGTTGTGCATACTCATGAGTGTTCTCTTTTAAAAAAGTGTTTATAATGGGAAGCAATATACATATTCATGATGGATAATTAATGTAGATCTCCCTCAATGCATTAGTAAAACATTCATAATATGACTGCTGTAAATCTTGCGCTCTTCTGCACAAGAAGCAGATTAACTCATTTGTTTTCTGTAAAGTCCTTAAAATTAAATATTTTAATATTAAAAAAAAAAAAGTGAAGTGGCTTGCCCAGTCATACACCTAGTATGTGGCAGAGCCTGACCTGAACCCTGAAACTGATCCACTTTCAAGTCTTGGTTTTCCAATTTTTACGTTACCTTAAGCCACATTGCTGGCAAGGCCCAGAGGGGCATGTGGTACTGACTAGCATGGAGTGTCTGCAGAAGTACCAGAGGATGGGATGGAGAGAAATGGCATTTGTCTTCATTGGAGTAAACTTGGGTTGAACTTGAGAGTTCCAGGGTTGTCTTGAGGCTAGTTAGAGTATAATACCATTTTCTTCTACCTTTCTCTGCAGAAGAACTTGTGAGCAATTCACCCATATCTCCAAAAGAGGCAAAGATTCCTGTGACCATAACTTCCACACCTTCTGAAGGAAGACCTGCCCCCCAGAGCTCCTGTGAAGAGACTCCTGTGATCCCAGTTGAGCCCCCAGCAGAGGTGACTCCATCAGAGAGCAGTGAGAGCATCTCCCTGGTGACACAGATTGCCAATCCTGCCTGTACACCTGAGGCACCAGTGCTTCCCAAAGACCTGTCCCAAAAGTTGCTTGAGGCATCTTTGGAGGAACAGGGCCAGGCTGTGGATGAGGGCGAGACTGGTCCCCCACCCCCAGTTACCTCCAAGCCCCTAACTCCTGCTGGCCGCCCCAGTGTTCCAGAGCCCAGGCCTCCAGCCAGAGTAGAGACTCTGAGGGAGGAGGTGCCCACAGACTTACGGGTGTTTGAGCTGAATTCGGATAGTGGGAAGTCTACACCCTCCAACAATGGCAAAAAAGGTAGGTCTGGAGGCTCAAGGCGGGGTGGGGAGGTGGTGATGTCTGGGCAGGGCAGGCAAGAATTGCCACTTAATAAGGCAGATGTGTCTCCTTGTCCCTTGTCTTGATCCTAGTAGCAAATTTCCAACATATTTCATATTTCAAATATGTTTATTAACATATTTCGTATTTCATCAAGTCTTAACATGCACATTTTATAACAGGATTTTTTTTGGTACTGGGATTTGATACTGGGGTGCTCAACAATTGAGCCACATCACCATCCCTTTTTATATTTTATTTTGAGACAAGGTCTTTCTAAGTTGCTTAGGGCCTTGCTAATTTGCTAAGCCTGGCCTTGAACTGGTGATCTCCTGCCCCAGCAGAGCCGTTGGGATTACAGGTGTGTATCACCACACCAACTTCAATAGTCGGTATCTTAGAATCCACAAAATAAGGTTTAGGTTAGGTCCTGTGCTAAATATATTATATGGCATTTAATTTGTCACTTACATCTCACAAAACAGTGAGGACGGTATTAAAATTGTCCTTTTAAAAATTATGAAAGTGAGGTCCAGAAATGTTAAGTAATTTGTTCAAATTGTCATGACTAGGAATTGGCAAGATCAGATTTAGACCCAAGCCTGTCTGACTCCAAGGCCATGTTCTTAACTACCATACTGCTGATTTCTATCCTTTTGGATAATTCAGTCTTGTCCTGAGTAAAGAATCCCTGTAATGTTAATGTCAAGGGTCTTCTCCCCTGTGGAACCTTAGAAAAGTTGTTCAACTTTCCAAGGCTTTTGTTTTAAAGAATGAAATGAATACTCATGAACTTGAAAACTTAAACTTAGGGTGCACCAGCTTTAGTGATAGGGCTTTAGTTTCTTTTTTTTCTTTTTTTTTTTTTTTCTGTACTGGGAACTGAACCCACAGACACTTTACCACTGAGCTACATATCCAGCCCTTTTAAAAAATTTATTTTTTGGTGGGGGGTACCAGGGGTTGAACCCAGGGGCACTCAGCCACTGAGTCACATACCCAGCCCTTTTTTTTTTT